TTGATTTGTTCAACGTATGTGGTTTCGCACTGTTTCGTTGCGGGCCAAGCTCGCCAGACGAACTGTTTGCCGGTCAAGCCACAGTATGAATTTCCCAAGTGCTGATCGGCTCGTTTCCATAATTGCCACTCTACTTCTGCCTGCTGAGGCGAGAGTAGGTCTGGGGCGGTTCGGAACCCATGCCTGGTGTGAAACCTGAAACCATGTTGACCTGGACCCCTTCTGGTTGTCGTTCTTACATGCGTGTGCCACAAGGGCGTCTGCCTCGCTTAGCTTTTCTGCCATGGGTTCGCACTTGGCCCCGCCCGTAAAAGAGTAGTTTCACCGCTTTGAGCAGCGGGAGGGCACCGAATTCAACGCCTTCAAGTCGGGCACCGTGGTAGTGGTCCGGCCAGTCGGCCCCTGGCGTGATTGTGGGTTGTGAGAAATCCCACTTCGTGCATCACGGAGCCTCACCAAAGCTCGCAGCCGCACGCAAGATGCACAGGGCTTCCATACAGCCTATGGCAGAATCTGCCGAGTGGTCGCTATTGAGTGAGACGCCATGGGAAAGGGCTTTGCGATTGAGCACACGATTCTTGTTGTCTGCGTGCGTGCAAGTACATAGAAAAAGGATGCTAGCTCTGCCCGTACTTCGCAGGTATCACCACGCATCGTGGCCGCCCCGTGACTGGGCTTAAGCAATTACCGGAATTGCTTCGCGAGCAAAAAGGGGAGTCAACCCCTGCATCTTGTCAGTCTGCAGGCGCCCGTCCTGGACTCCTGGACGTCTGCATAAACTCCTTGCCATAGCAACAACATCTCTTTGCTACGCGGTTAGGCAGGTAGGTAGGTAGGTAAGTAGGTAGGTAGACAGGTAGAATCAGGCTCGCCTCGTGCAACGGTGCGACGTCCGAAGTGCTCAAGGGCAGCGACGAGATTTGAGGGAGCACCTGCAAGCCGACTTCGATGTCACAACATCTTTCGGAGGAATTCCCAGAAGTGTCAGAGGTGTCCCAGAAGTCCCCGTTTCGGACAAGAGACCTCCCTAGAGCTCTGCTCGTCGAGATGGCAGGCCCCGGCATTGCTCTCAGAAGAGGGGGCCACAAACGAAGCAGTTGCCCAACCTTATTCGTGGCGAACCACACGCATCATCACACATGCGTTCATGTCTTTGCTGTGACATGCTGTGAAGTCAGATGCATGTGAAACCGGTGTGGCTCGAAGAGGGTTCATGTCATGGACCAGAGTAAAGGGGCCTCTGCGGCCCTGTACCAACATCTCGTCCCAGTGCGGGACATTCTGGGGGCAGATGCGTTCGAATACGTGGCTTCAGCGGCAGCCTCCCTACTGGAGGAACTAGAGGACGTTCAGGAGCCGTATCCTAGGCACATGATACGTTTATGCTGTTTACATCTGTTTACGGCTTTCGGGTTCAGGAAGCTTAGGGGTCCATCTTGAGCAGGACCGGGCGAAATGCGAGGAAGACCTCAGGGAGTTCCTCTGCCCATACGTAGAGGCGGGCTTGAGCCCGAAGGTCGTGGACGACTTGCTTCATTTGCTTCCCAAGTTTCCCAAGAAGGAGCTCAAAGAGCTCCAAGAGCTCCAAGAGCCAGACTGGTCACACCACCTGTGCCATGTGGAGAATCTTACACTGCTCTATGGAGGTGGCGCAAAGCCCCTACTGAGGCATGCCACGTTTGACATCCAGAAAGGCCGCTGCTATGGTCTAGTGGGAAGCAATGGCCGGGGCAAGACCACTTTGATGTCGAAGTTAGCAGCAGGACAGTTGTTGCAGTTGCAGTCGAAGGGTCTCAGCTGCTGCTATATCCAGTATGAGGAGGTGCTGGCAGGAGTTGACCCGACCATGCCATGCTCTGAGTATGTACTTGCAAAAGCAGGAACAGAGGGCGTGCCTGGCTTAGAACAGCTCCCAGCTGAACTGCCAGTTGGAAAGCTGAGTGGCGGATGGAGAATGCGCCTGGCATTGGCATGCGGGCTTGCACGTGACGATGATCTTTACTTACTTGATGAGCCTACGAACCACCTGGATTCTGCAAGCAAAGACTGGCTGCAGGATCGCCTGGCTCAGAGCGGCAAGACTTTCATGATCGTCTCGCACGATCTGCGATTTCTCGAGAGTGTGTGCACTGACGTTATTCACATTACCAATGATGGCAAGCTGGAATACCACAGCGTAGGCTCCAGGCAATTCCAGGCGCTTCTCCCAAGCGCCTCAAGTGCCTCGGGCGAGCTTGTGGAGGCTGCATGTCCCAGTTCTGCAATCACATTCCCAAATCCCGGCATGGAAGGCTTGCCCCATGTCCTAGCAGCACTCACAGAGTGCAGCTACAGGTATGCAGACCAGCAAAGGCCTACCCTGACAGATGTTTCGCTGGAGCTGACCAGGAAATGTCGTATCGGAGTGGTGGGAAAGAATGGCGCAGGCAAGTCCACCCTGCTGAGTTTGCTTGCACGGGATGTGCTACCTTGCGAGAGCGATTCTGTGTGGCACCACAAGGACGTCAGGATCGCCTATGTAGCTCAGCAACACTTCTACCACCTGTCGGAACATTTGGCAGGCACAGCGGTCGAGTATATCCAGGCCAGGTTTGCAACGGGTTGGGATGAGGAGCTTCGAGCACGCCTCGTGCCCAGTCAAGACAGCCGTGAGCTGGCTGCCAAACATGGTGGCAGGCCTTTCTACTGGGATGGAACCTCCAACTCTTGGAAGGGCCGTGAGGTGGCCGAAGTCCTGGAAAGGAAGATGGAAGATGGAATGCTGCACTACCTTGTGCGCTGGAAGGTGGAGGCGGCTGAGGAGAATGACGGCATCGTTGCCAGGAACACATGGGAGGCATCTCATCGGCTGCGGGAGATGGGTGCGGAGATGTTGTGTGTAGCCTTTGACAGCAGGGCCGCGTACTCGCGCATGGCCGCGCGGCCCTTGAATGCTGAGGAGGTCATTCGCCACTTGCGTTCAGTAGGCTTCACAGACAGCATGGCGCAACGGCCCATCAAGAGCTTGTCTGCCGGTGAGATGAGCAAGTTGGTTCTGGCAGCAGCTCTTTGGATCAAGCCACACCTCGTGTTACTCGATGAGCCAACAAACTTCATTGATTCGGAGGCAACTCTGGCTCTTGAAGCCGGCCTCAAGTCCTTCCAGGGAGGCGTCGTGGTGGTGAGCCACAACCATGGCTTCTTGCAAAAGCTTTGCACTTCCTTTTGGTGCCTGGAGCAGGGCCACCTTCGAATCCTAGGCAGACGAGGTGAAGACAGGAGCTGCCTCATCAAGTCGAAGCTGTGTGAGCAAAGAGCAAAACGGGAGGAGCAGCTGGCAAGAGTGCGTAAGGCAGCTGAAACCATCCTGGAGGTCAAGCCTGAGAATGTGGGAGAAATTGCGAGCAGGACCTTGGTGCTGGAGATCTTCCAGCGCTTTCTCGACTTTACCTTGCCACGTGAGGCCATCCAGCTCGCGGCAGAGATGTTCATGACGCTGGCAGACGAGCGCAGGCCTGCCCATGGGCGAGACTGGCTATTGGCCGTGCTAGAAGCCGTCTTGCATGTGGGCTCCTACACGTTGCACGAGGAGCTTGGTCTTGCTGGAATGTCACCTGTTTTGGTTGCGCTTGTGAAAGGCCTCCTTCGAAGGGGGGCTGTGTGCGGGGTCGATGATGGTGCACATCTGGGTGTTACCCTTGCTTGCGATCTACATCGCCTGCAGTTTCGCGCCAAAGCCTCGTGCTACGGAGGATGTTGCTACTGTGGCACCGAGCTGGCACCTGAGGAAGTGGAAGCTCATGGCAGAAAGTGCTACATGTCCCCGTTTCGGCTGGGCCGCCAATTGGTGAAAGCCCGACCTTCATCCCCAAGTGAAGATTTGAACGATGATACGCTTCTCTTCGAGATGTTCCATGGGACGTCCCCGGAGAATGCTTCTTCGATCGAGCGGCATGGCTTTAGACCATCGGTTGGCGGGATGCTGGGACCTGGCATCTATTGTTCCCGGGACTTACGGAAGGCTCGCCGGTACGGAAGTGTCGTGTTACGGTTGGCTGTATCTCTGGGCCGTGTAATCACGATAAGCTACAGAGGCCATCCCCTTCAGACAACGTGGCAAACTTTCGAGGGCGGCTGCTTTGATGCAGCATGGGTTCCCCCGCAGTGTGGTGTGGTTCCTTCAGGTTTGGAGGAGAACTGCGTCCGATCGCCATCCCAGATCCAGGTGCTCGGACGTGTGAATCTCGCAAATGGAGCCTTGTTCTGAACCAGGGACTGGACAGGAGTAAGCAGTGTACAGAATTGTACAGATGTGCAGTGTACAGAGTACGGGCCGGTGCTGTGTGAGATGATTAAGATATTTAATATCTCGGCAGGTCCCAAGCCTGCAATGACTGCCCTCGATCCCGAAGGTCCAAAGAGGCTTTTCATGAAGTGTAGCATCTGCAGCCCAGCCTGTGCTCCTTCTTGGACCTAGACACCTGGACTCCTAGACTCCACCTGGACTTGCGCGCAATTTTGGACTGGCTTTTTAGACGAACTGAGGTCATGGAGAGCGTTGGGACCAGCTCGTGGGTGCGCTCGGGACTCTAGGACAACTCGACAAGGACTCGACAATGACTCTACAAGTTGTAGGATGGAGGGTGCGGAATGGCTACAGTATTTGGAGAGCTTGCAGCTTTTTGGCCAAGTCGAGTTGCCAGGTGCCTTGCAGAAGGTGCACTCAGAGGTTCTGGGCGAAGCTGGCACAGCGCGTGATGAGGCAAGCTGCCCGAGAAGGGATTTCACGAACTACCTGGCATTCCTGCTAAGTGACCACGTCTTTCGCGAGCCTTCATGCAACGTAGGAACCAAGTGGGCTGTGGTGCTGCAGTATGAGTGGCGACTGTGAGGGCTGCGTGGCTAAGAGTCGGGAGGGCTTGGCGAGTGTGGGGCGCTGTTGGACAGTCATTGGATAGTGTATCGCGTTGGCCCAGGGCCCGGTTAGGTGAGAATGGGTTGCGTGCCGTGGCCCCCTGTGCTTGGGACAAGGCTCAGAAGGCGCGGGCCGAGGTTTGCATGCTTCAGAAAGCAGGCCGGGGAAAGTGACGTGGTATCGCAGTGGACCGGTGGATATTGTTTTGCCCGTATTTAACTGCCTGTACTTGAAAAAGTCTCGTGTTGAAACTTGTGGTTCCCTGTGGTTTCCCTTTCCCTGTTTTTCAGGTTGCAAGCTTCAGCAAGCCTTCGATGGCTTGCAGAAGGAGCTGCGACAGGCAGCTTTGGCCTTAGTTTGCTACTTCGTATCAAAGGAAAGCAAAAGAGCCCAAGGACCTAAGGAGATCTGATCATATTTGATCGTTTCAAGTTGTAATTGCGGCTTGGGGGAGCGCCCTCCACGCAGTCGGGTTAAAGATGTGTGAACCCTTCGGCATGTCTCCAGATCTATTGGCTTTCAGGCAGGCGATGCTGCCTACTACAAGGCAAGGCGTCACCCAGAGTACAGCATTGTTGAGAAGCTCACCACCGGTGCTTGAACACCATGTTGCGCAGCGCATGAGCTGGTCGTGCTTCAGGCTCAGTCCCACTCCCATCTTTTCACTGATTAGCGATTTAGATGCCTGCCTTCCCCCCCCCCCCCCCCCAGCTGTTAACATGGTGTTGGCAGAGTGCTTTCAGCATCCTCTTGCTCGTCTGACCGGGAGGTCCTCTTCGAGGACGCCAAGCAGGTATCGAATCCCCTGCGCCACCTCTCCGAAGGGTTTCCGCTAAAGGCTTAAGCGTAGAAGCTTGAATACCTGCCCCAGCATGCAATCACTTTACATGGGCCGGCCATCGAAAGTAAGAACTTGAGCAACACGAACCGGAACAACAGTACCAATGACTTGAGAGCTTCAGCAGGTCTGCCTGACGTACGTTATGCACTCCCAAGCCCCATTCCCCAAACCCCAGGCCCCAGGCCCCAAGCCCCACAGTGTGGGAATGTCACCCCGAAACCTCGACCTAGCCTCCCTCATGCAAGAGTGTGGGGGCCCCTCTCCATGTTTCATTGGGTCAGGAGCATTCATGAGCTTCCTATCAGAAAGAGGTTTGGGCTCAAGTCTAGCCGGCACTTACGGCGCGGAGGAGGCAGGGCTACATGTGGGATCGCCGGGGGTTGTGGTTAATCAGGGTTTGTTTGGTGGTCCGTTTTAGGCTTCTACGATGAACTTCCCCATAATTAAGGCTTGAGATCGGTACGCTTTTCATGTTTCGTTCTGTTCGCAAACGAGTTCCTCCGCGCTCCCCTGAACAGATGGCGCCGAAGAAGAAGGACTACGGCGCTGCTTTGTGCGGCGATTAGTTTTTTACTTCCGCCCACCCCTCAAATACTACCCTAAGACTAAGTCCACGTCGTGGCATGGGGTGTTGGGAAATCTGGGGCGGGCATTCCAGGAATTGCCTCGTCTCCGCGGGATTCTCAGGGTGGGCACTTCAGTTCTACTCAGCGGGATGTTGCTGCGCGATGGACATTGTAAGGGATGGTTTGGGGACGGGTGGGCTTTGGTGGTGGGCCCTCCAAGGAAGCTTTGCGGGATTATCTGCAGGATTCTCGGGGTGGGCATTCCAGGGATAGAGGCCGTCTCCAGAAGTAATGTTGCGCCCGGTTTAGTATTGTTGCCCGCGATAAAGGTTCGTTCGGAAAATTTATTCGGGATACCCCTATTGAAAATAGCTTATGCCTTGGGATGCAGCGGCAGGGAGAGAGAATTATGCAAAGTTCGTGGCCCGTGGAAGCTGAAGGATTGTTTTTTTGGTCTCGGCTGAGGCAGAAGTCGTCAGGTCTGTGCCCTCCGGACACAAGTGCCGCTGAGGGACCCCGTTTCCGTTTCTAGAGGGTGAGCAAAAGCCCCGATTTTTGTTTATGGGCCCCGAGACACCAAAGCCAGTGCAACATGACAGAATAGCTTAGTTCACGATCTGATCGATCTGGCAAGCCCGCGCCGAGGGTGGGGAGCACACACGCACACACCCACCTCCACCTCCCAAACCATTCGTTGTAGCATGTGGGTCATGTCGGTCACATCCGAGGCTGCAGCGGCAAAAGCGAAGCCCAAGGCAAAAACGAAGGCAACGGTGGGACGGACTGGACTGTTGGACCATCATACGATCATCATATGATGTTCGTGTGGCAATTCAGGTAGTTTGCAATGGCCGCAGGGTTCAGCGTGAGCTTTTTGCGGTTCGGCAGTTGCAGCCAAAGACCTCTGCCTTTGCACAGGGAAAGGCCCAAGCCAAGGCAAAAGCCCGAGCGGCGGTCCACGGGAGAGGCGCCTGGGAACTTTGAAGATTTTTGCTGTGGGCTGATGGTCATAGGAGCGAGTTTGAGCCCTACAGATCAGTCGTAACAATTGCAAGAGCATGCATTATCGACATTGCTCTGCCCTGTGGTACGTGATTCATAGTCAAAGGAGTGTGCGCGCTTGGCCACCGCTCAAAGGAAGCAGAGCAGGGAATCTCCAGCTAGGGACCTGTGGATCTAGTTCCATTGCATCCACAGCCAAAGGACCTGCCTGCAACAGGGCCAGACCGACCCATCATCCAACGCACGAGCCCGTGCACAAAGACTGAAGCGTCTTTCTGGAAACACATTAGCTTATCATAAATCCCCCTGCTCGCATCTGCTTCTATGATTCGTGCGAAGTCCTGCCAGAGGCCCGAAGCGTTTCCATGCCTTTGCCGCGTCGGTTCTAGGCCTCGAGCTCAGAAAGGGGAAGATGGACCCATGTCAGAAAAATCCGAGCAAGAGGCAAGAGGCTTATGGAGGTTCAGGTTTGCATGGAGCCACGCCAGTCAAAGTTCCAGCAGGCGACGCTACGTTTGAAGCGCGGCTGAGGTTTCCCTCCGATTATTCCGATCCTTGACACTTTGGTGCCACTAAGGTCAGTCCTTCGACGATATCTTTCCCGAGGAGACCGAGGGCCAATCCAGGTTCAGGCTTTTTTCTTCGGCCAGTTTCTTGACACTACGCCTTCTGTAGAGGGCGTGGCGTAGACAGGAGCCTTGTTCAGGGTCACTCCGCAGGTACCATATTGTGTGCCAGCCCGTTTTGCAGGTCTGCGAGTGTGATGTAGTCAGGGCACAGCTGTGCAACGGTCAGTGTTGGAAGACCCTCGCCATCTTGGGGACATCAGGGGGCATAGAAGTGACATTTGGACGTTTTGGGGTGTCTGGGACCGTTCGGGAGGCAAAAATGTTCCGCATGTGGTGCGAGGCGCAGGACCGCCGCCGGATCGTCGGGAAGCAGCCCCCGAGGATCCTTGCTGCCCTCCAGGCAGAATTTGAACAATCTGAAAAGCCTCTCGCATCTGCCATTTGGGGTTTAGGGTCTGGGGTTTAGGGTTTAGGGTTTAGAGGTGAATTTGTAGGGGATACTGACCGTTTTGAAGGATGGGCGGCAAGTGTTTGCCTTCATCGTTCCGCGCCTCGAGATGTTCCAACCTTGTCTGCAGGGACCCTTCAGTGGCTACACTGGCCCGCACATCCCGAAGCAGGCCAGCACTCGCGTGTCTTGACTGAAGAACTTAAGCCCCCCACCCCCCCGCCACGAGGCGCAGCATAGCGCAATGCAACTCTGATTTGGGGGCTTTCATGCGGCCACGTGCAGCTGCTTTGGCAAGCGCAGAACCGCACAAAAACAGACTAACTGAGTAGCAGAGGAGTAACGGTGGGTCACCATGACCCGCGGAACCTGCTTTGCCACAGGGATGTCAAGGTTGGCTAGGTCTTTTTGAGGCAGGCCTGACATGCTGTTGTGTGCAATGACCCAGGCAGGCAGGCATTGGGATGACACTTGTGGCATGTTAACCCTGAGCCTCCTAGTCCACAAAGCAGAATCACCCTCGCATGTTCTGTCAGAGGCTCATAGAGGCAGTTCTATCGAAGAAGTTGCCCCTGAAGCCCGAAGCACACATGAATTCAACATTCGGTTTAGGGAATGCGGAGGCCATGATGCGGCGAGTTGCTTCCAGTCTCGGGCGCTTACTCTGAGGTGACCCTCAATCCTCGAGGGCATTACGACGAGCCCCCGCTGCAGCTGTTGATTGACCCCCATTCGGGGGAGAGTGTGGATGTTTGTTGTGATGCCGTGCATTTGGCCATATCCTTCGAATATTGTGCCAGTGCGCTGCCGCACTTCGGGCTGATTGAACTGTCTGTGCTGCGGCCTTGTGGCTCAATTGCCAGCGTAGACTGTTCAGACTCAAAAGTCGTTATGCTGCCATGCCTCCGAAACCTCCCAAAGAGATCGGCAATGGTGTCTTTGGCTGCAGCCCACGGGCCAAGAGCATCAAGTCCCATGTCTCATTTTCGCACCCCTTCAGGGAGGAGGTTCGAGGTAAGCTTCGGCAAGCGGGGAGGAGTGCTTTGAGCCGGGCACTGTATCCCACTGGGCAAAACAACCTCTGAGGACGTTTCGAAGTTCAAAAAGCACTTGGCGCTGGATGCTTCGGCCAAGTGTGGAAAGGCTCGTCATGATTCATGATCCTTTGGTGCACATCGCAAGCATTAGAATTACAAGCCCCCACCGCCCGCAGGTGTTGAAAAGAACTCTGGAGCAGCTTGGAGAGAATGGACTGGGTGCAGACGTATCATGAGGGTCTGGTACATATCCGCACATGGTAGCGAGATGTCAAGAGGAAGTGGTCAGGAGAACCCATCAGGCCTCGCAAATGTCAGCATGTCGACTCGCACGCACCGGAACGCAATGCAAGTCCCAACCCTGAGCCGAAGCCGGAAGCTTTGCAGTGCTTTACAAGATGCACCTCTGGTTGGGCCGTGTTGCGCTCTCCCACCCTGCTTGGCAGATATAGTGAAAGCACATGAGGGTGTGACTGCTCAGGAAACAATCGCCATAAAGTTCGAGGACAATCAGGCGAAGGGCGCTCCGAATCAGCTGAAGACGGAATATGACGGGAGGGCTTGCTAAAATGCTCATAGTTGGAGACTTGTTGCAGTACTGGGCTCGTTAGATGCTAAGTCACGTGGGCTCCTCCTAGTGCGAGAGGACACGCTGCGGATCATCAGTGCCGCGAACGAAAATGTCCAGGGCTTCTCCAAACCATTTTGGCTGCCTGGCGCTGCAAGCACGAGACCGGACGTTACAAAGTTAAAATCGACTCCCAAGCCCATTCAAGCAGCAGGATTGAAAGGAGTGACATTGAGATCGCCCTGAAAGGGTGCCAGTGAGTGAAAGGAGTGAAGGCGAGCATGTGCATGAGAAGCACATGCAACCCCTTGCTGTAGATCTGCGAGGTTTGGGGTGGAGGGCCGCTTCAGCTGTCTTGCGGCGGACTTAGATGAAGCCTTCGCTGTGCACATGGGGCAGAATCAGAACCCTGTGGGGTCATCGCGTGCCAGCCCAGCCGAGAGAGTTGTGACTAGATGGTGGGCTGGTTGGCCAGCCAGTATCCGTGTATGCAGAGCACATATGTGCACAACTACTTGACCTCTGGTACTTGGTCCGGACCACCCCGCCTTAGACACCCAACTGTCGGATTAACCAATCTTAATTTTCGAATATGCCTCCAGATGTGCAGGACCCGCAGGATGTTCTGCTTCTGTGGTTGAACGGTGATTGCACACGATTTTTGTGTCGGGCTTAAAGAGACGGAGCTGTGCCAAATGCTGCCAAGCGCCAAGGCGATGGAGTTGCTGGGTCGATCTTTAGAGGCCCGGAACCCTTGTTGAG